TACAATTGATGGAAAAGCACTTTTGTAGAGGAAAAAAGATGTTTTGGAGTTGTGTTAACCGGTTACACCTGACACTGAGTTGTTATTGTTTTGTCTGTGTAATCGATTAACCATTTGTGTTAATCAATTACGACCCTGATTTTTAGATTTTTCTTGTAATTAGATGATGTGTTTTGGTTTCAATCATTTTGCAACACTTGTATAAATGCCTCGGAGGCATCTTCATCATTGATTAATGCAAATTGTTCATTCTCACCCTCAATTATCCCTTTTTCTCTCTAATTCTCTTTTCTCTCTCACCATCTTCTTTTTCACATACTCTAAATCCTTCATTGTTCATCAATTGTGTAATTGTATGTTGCAACAAATATGACAACATTTGAATATGGAGAGAAAAATACAAAAGAGAAAGATATTGTAAAGTTTTCGTAGATTTCTTCCATAATCTATTCACATATGTCAATCCATCTAGAATTGAAGAAGCAACTGAAGTGGTAGAATGAAGAATCATTGATGAATGGAAAGATATTTTTTCTCAACCATTCGCACTAAAAGATGATGAGTTTGTTATCTTGAAAAGTATTAAACCCAAGCTTCGCCGGGGTCATATGGGATTCTTGCTATCTTTTTTAAAAAAAATATTGACATACACTAGGGGGCATTTGTTTCACGGAATTAAAATTTATTTCTAGGAATAAATTACCCGGAAAAATAAAGATAGGAAATTTATTTCAAGGAATTTTTTTAAAAAGTGTTTGGCAAATATTTTGATATTCCTAAGAAATTTATGATTTTAACTTCTTTTTTTTAAAGTTTATAAAATTTCATTAGAATCCACATTCTCATTCTTTTACATGGGAATAATTTCATGAAAATATGAGGTTACTTTTTTTCTTGGAATTTTTATTCCTAGAAATAATTATTTTTAAACTTGTAACAAACATGAGTATACTCATTTCTTATTCATGTATTTCTGGGAATCTTGTTTATAACCTTGAAACAAACACCCGCTAGGATATGAAACTTACTCCTTGGTTAAATGCGATTAATATGATAGATTTATCTAAAATTTACTCCTTGGTGTAATGTATTTCTGAAATTGTGACAAAAACTACGATAAATCATCTAAAACTAGTCAAACTAAGATGATTGATTTATTTCAAAGTGCTCTTATTTTTGGTAGACTAATTACATAGATAATGCATTTTTAACTTTTAATGTTTTTCATTACATGAAGAAAAAAACGGTTAGTAAAAAATATTTTGTGGGGAGTCAATCTGATCTCTCACTTAAATCATCTCATTCTTACGAGTCTCATGTTTGTGGGACTATATACAACATGGTCTCTCACGTAAAATTGATCACTCTTACAAGTTTCGTGTTTGAAAGATTGTGTACATATCCGATAAGTTGGGTCGAATCTAGTTTGAACTCAACAGAACCCGCCTCGATTTTAAGCCATCTCATGGGGTAGGATCAAGCTAATTCAACTTAATGGGTCAAGTCGAGCAGGTCAGTCCAAAGCCAACATATCTTATTTTTTAGTGATGCACTTTAACACTTGGACAGAAACATTTCATACGACTTAGACTCATACTTGCGACTTTAATTGGATCCATGTTGGTAAAGTTAGCAATTAGTTGTACCTTATTTGTATATTTAGTGCCACTGTGGGGCCTGATAAAATTGACATGAATCTAAAGATTCCTTCCTTGGTCGTTGCACGATTGTGAACTAGGTTGACTATCTCTGAAGGAACATTCACAGCTCCAACATTACAGTGCCCAAATCCTACTTGTTGAAGTCACAACATATCCATTATTGAGCCCGCAAATAAGGAACCAAAATCAACGAACCTCCTGTCTACATCTTTACGAAAATGGATATTATTCAAAAATCCAGACTAACAGTCATGAACACACAAAATTTTTACTAGAGGATGGTCAAGGAAGAGGTGGAAGCTTTAAATTAGTACAAGTTGGGGAAGGCAATATGGAATTATGTGTTTACATGTTTAATCAAGAAATAATCCAAGCTAAAGCAAGTCATGCCTATCACATTTTAGTTTTGATGATGAGAACTTGTGAAGATGATGCAACCTTTGATGATAACTTATGAAGATTCAATATGACCTTAAAGGATAAGCTAAACAAGTATGTCAAATAGGCAAAGATGCACAAGACAATTTGTTCAAAAATCTTCCTCTGAATAAAAGTCGGAGAGTTAAGGTGTGATGACCACCGATGATGGGCATCCAAATTGAAGATATCTCAAGCCACATCTTTAATAAGACTCAAACAAGTGCTTATATGATTGGTATATTCAACAAAGTCTTGAAGCTTTAGAATATGAAAGAGAGAAAGTGTGAAAGCTCGCTTGATCGTGTCTGAGTGATCAGTTTTTTGTAAAAGCACAATGACGTTTTTATAAAGTATTATTGCTAACACACGCACTCACTAAAACCTTTTTTAAAGTCTTTATTTCTCAAAGAAATCAACATAAATATGTTTTGGATTCTATCCAAATGAATCGAGAACTATTAAAATGATTAGGGAACTTTTTTTGAACGGCTCAATCAATTGAAGCATATTCACAATCAATTGAAGCATGGACTATGAGAAGTTGAAGATGAAGAGCAATACTTTGTATGTTTCATCAAGTTTCAAAGGATATATGTATGATATATATATATATATATATATATATATATATATATATATATATATATATGTGTGTGTGTGCAAGTTGGAGGCAAAAAGTAAACAAGAGGATTAGAAAAAGAATGTAAGTTTTCAAAGATTTTTTATGCATGTGTCGACTCATACAAGTCATGTGTCGACCCCTTCGAAGCATGAGTCGATCTATATGAGTCAGTGAGTCGACACATACGTTACAGAGGCTACAAGCTTTAAAAATGAACCACATGTGCCAACTCAAAACTCGTATGTGTCGACTCATAGAAGAATTTTTCTTCTATGTGTCTATCTGAAAGATATTATATGTCGACACAGCCAAACAAAAGTCCCAGGCTTTAAAAATAATCTACATGTGTCGACTCATGACATGTATGTGTCAACACATAGACATGTTTTTCAAAAAAAAAATTGATTTTAATGCATGAAATCTTTTTTAAACGATTCTTAAACTTTCTAATACTAAAATGCACATTTAGACCAAGATAATACCGTCTAGCAAAATTCAATTTGATAGAATTGATTTTAACATAATTTAGTTTAATATGATTGATTTATGTTTAGATACATTTATGTAAAAATGGATTAAACAATATATTTCAGTATAAAAATTACCCATAATCAATTCTGGAAAAGGAGCTACAAATTTCAATTTCAAATATAATCAATTCTAGAGGCAGAATTAATTCTACTTTTGATAAATCAAATATCTCAAAACCACCCAAAATCAATTCTACATTTTTATAATTGATTCTGAGTATTCCAAAAATGAAACCAAACATATAAAAAAACTCTAACAATGGTAGAATCTCTATAAAAAAAAAAATAGTTTGATACTATATTTAAGAAGAGTCTTTGTTGCCATGAGTGGGCATTGCCATCGTTCTGCCATCTGATTGCATTATCTTATTTTTTATTTTTCAGTGCCTGTTCTCCTACATTAAAACCCTATTTCTAAGGCATCATTTCAATTCAAGTCCACAATATTTTTTAATAAAAAATATTTTAAAAATTATTATTAGTTTATTATATTTAATTTAAATTTTTTAAATAATTAAATATTACAAAAAGTTGTTTTTTGTATTGTTTTTTGTATTGACAAATCTTTTTGCCACATCAGTCATTTTTGTATACTACATCTACCTCAACTTAATTTTTTAATGTCACTTAAGTGAAATTTAGTCTATATATCAATGGAGACTATCAAATATAAAAGGAGATAAATTTAAGGAACTAAAACTAAACAACTAAACAATTGAAATTTAGAAGGTCAAAATCAAACAGAAACTTGAGTCAAAACAAAACAAAAAAAATAACTATTGTAAATTTATACAAAAATCAATGTTAATTTTACATAAACACCTTTACAAGTAATAAATATAATGACAAAGATAAAACAAATTCATATTTTTTAATGGACAAAACTTATGTACAATTCATGAAATGTGGTTCTTATTATTTTCTAATGAATATATGACAAATATATAATTTTCTTATATATATATATATATATATATATATATATATATATATATATATATATATATATATATATATATATATATATTGCTTATATTTTCACTCCTTAAATAATATTTAAGTATACTTGTCATATTTTCATTAAAAAATAGTAAGAACCACCCATAAGTTTTGCCATATATGTATTTAACAGGAATACTATTAGAAAGAAATCATTGATAAATAACTAAACACAATTTTATAAATAAAATAGCAAGATAGTTTTGCCATATAAAATTTCCACTATTATAGTTCTAGCCATTTACCTTCCCATGATCCTCCATTCACATAGTGACTCTCATATCTTGTATTTCATCCACATAGCAAGATATAAATGCTTTAATTAAAAAACTGCAGGCATTTTTCACTTTACAGCTTTATGCAATGATCATCATCAAAAGTTAATTTCTAAGATGTTTGGAATTGCAGTATAAACATATCAACACACACTGAGATAGATGCTAATAATCTGAGTTTCAGATTACACTACACATACTGCGATAATATAAGAAATCAAACAAGTACTTCATCTTATAACAGTAACATAATAGTGATTAAACCAGCATATTTTTCAAATCCTTAAAAGCTGTTTGCATATATCACTACAAATAAGAGCCTCAATAATCTAACAAGATGATTAATATCTCTATAAAGACGAATCATGCAAATGGTTCCATGATCAAATTAACATAACCTGATATAGTATATGGCATAGTAAAAATGACTCTTGATAAACCTATCTTCATTATTACTCATCAACTACACAATTACCACTCACCAATGTGATTTTCACGACGAAGTAGATCCAACCATGTTGTTCACGTCTTCCAAAAGACCTTTCACCTCGCTCTCTATCTTTGTCTTGAAATCAGGTGACTTATCGTCGGATGATTTGAGCATCGAAACCAGACCTTGAAGTTTTTCTTTTATGAAGTTCAGTTTAGACGCCTCATTACCATCTGACAGAGATTGTGTGGCTGGAGTTGGAGTTGGAGTTGGAGTCGGAGTCGGAGTCGGAGTCGGAGTCGGAGTCGGAGTCGGAGTCGGAGTCGGAGTCGGAGTCGGAGTCGGAGTCGGAGTCGGAGTCGGAGTCGGAGTCGGAGTCGTGTCTTTCTTCTTGTCCTGTGAAGGTTTGGACTTCTTCTTAGATCTTTCAATGTATTGTCCTCCGGACTTTGATCCATCAGAAGAAACATACTCGAGCTGAAAAGTTACTTCTGAAGGTTCAAACGGGTTTTTCTTTTGCGAATCGCTCAATGCCTTTTCAGCATCACGGGTTCTTAGGAAAGAAACTCGACCAGTATGATTAGTACGGAACATATTGGTTTCTTCTTCATTCAGAGATCCATACTTTTGATACACTGCCACAAGATCAGATGTTGTAGGTAGGATGGCTCCTGGCCAAAACGACACAAAAAGCACAGCTGGCAAAGATTTTTCATCGATCTCTTTCTTGCCGCTGGTCTCGGTTTCACGAGTCTTCTTCTTCAATTTTGACATGCTTGTAGCTATCTCCTTTCTTTTCTTAGCTGGTTCAGAATCTCCGCTCTTGTCTTTTGACATGCTTGTAGCTATCTTCTTTCTTTTCTTAGCTGGTTCAGAATCTTCACTCGGTGTTACGTGAGCAGATTGATCAAGTTCAGATTCCGGCTTACTTCTCTTCCTTTCACATCGGCTTTTGTTGTACACTTTGTGTAACGATCCTTCGCAATACAAAGAACTTCTCATGACATAAATAAAGTCTTCCAATTTAGCAGCAGAAGCGCCCTCCCTAGAAATTTGTGGACTAACAGCAGCATTGCGGATTTTGGACAGAATTTCAGCCGAAGGAACCTTAACTTTCTCTGGATCAATAGTCTTTTTCTCATCCTCTTGTGTTTGGTGATTCAAGTTGTCAGAAAGCTCCAACTCTTGAAGTGCCTTGCCGTTACACTTCGAAAGCCGAGGAGAAAGCGGGCCAGCACTTCTAGTTTCTGGCTTCACTTTTCCCTTCGTAAAAGTAATTGAAGTAGTGAAAGGAGGCGACAAATACTTGCTTTTCTTTCTTTCTCTTGACAAAAAACCCTTCTTGTTTTCTTCTTCCAACTTCCCTTCAACATTCTCCTTTTCGTTCCCCTCGTCGCTGATGTCTTCAGTGTCAACAGCTTCTTCTTTTTTATCTTTCAAACGCCGTGATTTGCCATTCTCACTGTTTTTCTTGCTCTCACGGCTTTCTTTTCCGGCTCTTTCAAACTTCCCGTCAGTATCTATAATCAACTCTTTTCGTTTTCGAACTGGTTTAGGAGTCACTGCATCGTCACTATCTTTTCTCTTCTTCCTACCCCTTGACCTAATTACGTAAAGAACTTCATCATCACTTACATCCTCTTCCTTATCTTTTGCATCAGCATCATTATCCTCCCCCATAATGTCAGCAATGCTTTTCTGCTTTCTTCTCCGGTTCGATCGACTTCCTGAAAGCCCCGGGGGACGACGCAGTTCGCCCGATTTCGGGCTCAATGGCAGGGTAGAGAAGTCCTCTTCAAACGGGCCTTGGAACGGTGCTTCCACTGCATTATCTACATCATCTTTATCTTCAAGCCCGAGAACCCGTTTGGGATCCTCATAACAAGGTAACTTATACCCACCTCTCGAGAAATAGAAAGCCGAAAGCCGAGCCTTTAATACTTCCAGCTCAAGAACACTGGCAATATCAATAACTTCAGCAATTTGTTTCACTTGAGATAGTAATTCAGCCGGTTCGATCGCAACAGCCAGAAGTCTCTCTATGCCACTTTCAGGCACAAAAACACCTTCCTTGATTCCCGAATTCTTCGCCGACAATGGAGCAAATTCAGACTCAGTTTCCCCGGCCACAACAAACGGACGACTCATCTTCATAGCCAGAACCCATCCAACCTCGTCTACAGCTTCTTGTACAGCATTGGTAAAACTTTTGGTACCACTTTGTTTCACCATATCATCAAAATTTTCCTTAAAAGGCTTCAACTGCGACGGATGGCACCAAGCAAATGTTCCATCACCAAAGTAAGCCACTAAGAACCGATTCTTCTGTTTCAGCTTCAAAGCAAAATCCGACGCATCGGACGGATCATAAACTCGACCTGGCCACCAAGGATGACTCTTAATTTTACCCCAAACAAAATCACCAACAGAATAACCATACCTTTCATCAACCAAATCATCGATTTCAACATCAACGTTCTCATTCGTCTCAACTATCGGTACCTCAAAATTCACAACTTCATCACAATTTTCATCTTTTTTTCTTTCTTCACTCTCCTTCTTCCCATTCACTTCAGCAACAATGTTCTCACTTATCTCCACAATTGGAACCTCAATAGTCTCAATTTTCCCATCAAAACCTTCATCTTTTTTTCCCTCCTTGTCTTTTCCCTCAGAATCAAACTTCTCACAAACAACGCTACTATCGCTTTCTCCCATTCCCAACACAGAAGACACCCCATTGTTCATCTCCGAATCAACCACAACCTGAGAATCATTTTCATTTTCCTTCAAAATTGAAACATCAGTCTCGAAAACACTACTCTTAACAACTTCAACAACTACAACACCATCATCACTCAAACCTCTCTCTCCAGCACCATTCTCAAGAGCTCCCTTAACCTCATTCTCCACCTTCTCTGAACCATCAACTTCAAAAATGACATTTTCAGCTACACTACTTGAAACCCCACATGGTTCCTTGGATTCAGTTTCAACCATACCCATCAAAAAAGAAACAATCTTTCCACCTAAAAACCAACCTATTACAAAAAACCAAAAACCCATATTAAAAAATCAAAATTTATTCAACACATTTCTAGGGCATTTTATCAAAAAATGGAACAACAACAACACAAAAATGAAATTTTGAACATGACCCAGTAACGAAAAACTTCAATAAATTAAACCCAGACACACAAAATCTACACTATATCAAAAGTTTAATGTGTTCATAAAGATTCAACTAAATATATCAAATAAAAGAAAAATTAATCATAAAAAATGAAAAATAAAAAGCACCTGGAAGATGAAAACTAGAAGAGGAACTAACAAAGGTTTGATTTTCGTTGTGAATGTGAAACGATTGATGAAACTATTTAGCTCAGAATATGATGGTAGAAGAGAAATGATGAAGAAGAATGTGATTCTGCTGGGGTTATAAATATTGACATTTTTTTAATATTATATTATTTGAATCTAAAATAAAGAAATATTATTAATAATTAAAACTACAATGAGGGAGTAATAGAATGAAATGAGGTATTTTTTAGGAAAAGCAATGGGATTTTTGAAAATAGAACAATGAGGATTTCTTTTTTCAATACATTTCTTTATTAATTAAGAATTTTTTTGAAAAATATATATATTAAAAAGAATATTAATAACACTTAATTGATATACTAAAAGTTTTTGAAATGATAAATCGTTTGATTTTATTTTTTCTTTTTGAAATTTTTTAAAATAATATTTATTGAAACGATGAATCGTTTGATGTTTTTTTATTTTTAAATATTTTGAAACGATGGATTGTTTGATTTTATGCTATCTCTTTGAGAGTTTTTGAAACGATGAATCAATTGATTTATTTTTCTTTTTAAAATTTTCAAAAGGATAAATTATTTGGTTTTATTTTGTTATTGTGTTATAATAAGTAAACATAATTAAAAATGTTTTTTAAAACCAAAAAATAAAATTAGTCAATTTTTTTTTTTACAAAAGTGTTACTCAAGCATAATTGTTACTTTCTTTTCTTTGTCTCTCGTAATATTTTTGTGTTTGACTATATTTAAAAATATATAAAAAATAAATGAAAAAGAAGTATAATTCTATTAGTTGTATATTTTACTCATAAAAGTATATTGAAAATATTAAATCGAAAGTATGCTTATAATATTAATTAGATAGTATAATTAAAAATAAGAGTTAAATATATTGTTGGTTCCTATAAATATCTTACATTTTATTTTTAATTCCTATTAAAAAAATAATATATTTTAGTCTCTATAAAAATTGTATGCATGTAATTTTAGTTCTTGTTATTTTTTAAAATATTAAAAATTGTTTAATTATTCTTAAATTTTTAAATAATATTTTTCATACATATTTAAAATATTATAAAATATTTGTTTATTAAATTTTAGAATTTTTTAAAATGAGAAGAATTAAATATGATTTTTTTTAAAAAAAATTTAGAAGATGATGATAAAAGTAATGAAAATTTCGACTTAGAAATCAAATTTTGAGTTCTATTTTTTTCGATAAACTTTTTATAATGTTTTAAATATATCTGCAAAATAATCATTCAAAAATACGCATTGGTTTAATATGAAAGACTAAAACTAAGTGCATAATAATTTTCTAAAGACTAAAACATACGATTTTTTTATAGGGACCAAAAATAAAATTTAATAATTTTATAGAAACCAAAAACATATTTAATCTTTAAAATAATAATTAAAAGGTGTTTGTTTCATTATTGTAAAAAAAAGTTAAAAATATATATGAAGTTATAAAAATAATTTCTTATATTATTTGTTAGAATTTTTGTTCAATTTCTTTCTTATTAAAAGAGAGAGTTGTGTTTTAAATGTTGATGTTGAATATGGAAAAATAATTTTTTATTGTATTTGTATCGCATTGTACTCATTAAATATGCAATAGAAATGAGGTTTGTTCACATAGGATGCAAGAGGCTCTGTTTGGGTGACCTCAGAAGATGGTGAAGGAATCATGTGTTTGCCATGAGCAATAAGGGCAAGCATCTCTCCTTGACAGATTATGGTGTGCTTAAGAAAAATAGATATCATGGAAAACCTACTCACGTAGGAACCGTGAGAAACATTCTCTCAGTGTATGTCTATTAAAATTAGGTCCATTTTTCTCGATCCTATGGTTCATACATTTGTAGAAGATTGTCTAGGCTTGGGCTAGAAAGCTAGGAGACGATTTTCCTTTCCTCGCATGAAACATGGAGCGGAGGAGATTAAGTCATCCCTCAATCGTAGGAGGAATGATATTTTCCTACTACTCACATTCCGTGATCGTTTTTCCTAAGACACCTCAAGAACCATGTGTATTATATGAGACGGGTCGTTGGTATTGGATTTAAGCCCAATTGGTTCTTTGAATGGCCACCTTGATATATACACTTTAGGCGACCAAGCCTCATTTGGCAATCGCCCCTTAGTTCAACCAAGGAGCATTTCCTTCTAGGCACCAATTAATCATCCCAGTTCAGTCATATTATGGTCACTGATAAAATATCAAAAATATGTAAAAGACATAATCATTTATTAACTTAATCCGAAAGTAATCCACCCCCAAATTTATCATAAAAACAAAAGATAAAACACCTGTATGAATTTTTTAGCAGTGTATTCATTAAGTTCGGATAAAAAGTACTAAGAAAGCACAAAAAATATACAAAAAAAAACACCTTTCAAGCACCAAACCTCACTTATCCAAGAAAGGAGTGTCTCTAAGCGGGTAAAGGCAATAAAAGAAAACTTCAGATCCAAGTAACTTCAAGGATAAGCAAAAAAACTTGCTTAGCACGGTATCAGACGGGTTAAGCGAGGTATGGAGGTTCAAAAACTTAAGGGCTAAATTACTCCATGTCCAAGGAAGGGTTTGCTCGCTAAGCGAGCTTAGAGGCGTGCTAAGCAAGGATAGGTAGAAAATACCACTTGCATAATGAATTAGCATGTCTTAAGGGTGGAGAAAGTGTGCATGCAAAGCAAGATCTGAGTCTCGCTAAGCGAGAATAGCATATCAGCACCTTTTAAATAGGGGTTCAGTCAACTCGATTGAAGATAACTTAGTGTAAAATAGTAGCTTTATTGATAGGGAGTGAGAGAAGTTCATTGTATCCAAAAACCCAACAAGAGATTAAAAGAGAGGAAGATTGAAGGCATAAATGATGTATGAGGAATCAACAACAAATGTTTCTCAATGTATTTCTTCTAGAGCTTAATTGTAAAGATACGATGAGTAAGCGTCACTAATTTCTCTTTTGTTGAGGGTTAGGTGTATTCGTCTCAATGCTCATGTATTCATTGTGATCATGGCGTTATATGTAATTCTTCTTAAACTTTAACATTGATGAATTATTTGTTCGTAATGCTTGTTTTGGATTAGCTACCTAAAACATGTTTTCATAATGTGACTTGATATATGAAAAATACTGCTCATTTACTAGATCCCAACTTTTCATATATTGGATATGCTAAAGTATATAGATATAGATATGCTAAAGTCTATGATGATGGCGGTATATCTATAGATATGCTAAAGTCTATAGATTTAGTACAGTGGTTGTATGAATTGTTGAAACTTAATGTTATCATATTGGTTAATATGCTGAGAGAATATCTATTAGGTGATATGTTTTATTCGACGTCGTTGACTCGGACATGAGGTCTGGTGAAAGCGATGAGTGGTAATATTAATATTGAATTAGAATTTCATATTATTCATCAATGATATTACATGAAAATCGATCGATGAAATGTAACCTCGACAAATTTTTAAAACTATTAAACACCAAAATTCATTTTACTTTCTGTTATTTTATTTTTTGTATTCATAAACCATCAAACATCTGATAAACCCCTCTTAAAGTCATAGAAAAACTATTGAATATTACTTAAAACACAATCATTCTCTATAGATAAAATACAAACATGTTTGTTTTCTAATTGCAACAATCACTCATTAGAATATTATGGTGCATAAAATGTTGTTAAACCAGAAAGAAAAAAAAAAGATAACAAAGATAATATTTTATGTTTCGATAAAATCAATTCATCATATAAAAAATGTTACTAAAACAATAATAGATGGATTACAAAGGATGCAATTTTTGTTATGGAGAATAATCCGACTATGAATGAGATTGTACAAAATATTTTAGATGATACTAGTGGATCAATTGAACATACAAAGATGTTGAGAACAATGACTATTATCAAATAGAAGAACAAGAAGAAGTACCTAAAGTATCTCAAAAACACGTGATTTATGCGATTACAAATTTAGTGAAGAATCAAGATATGAAACAAATAAATAAATATACAACAAGGTAGTACAATTAATATGATCCTAATGGTATTCATGATATCATGATTTTGAATAATTGAATGGCTAAAATTGTTACATATATTAAGCACACACTCACGTCAATGAGAAAAAAAAAATTCTTTTATAGAAGTGATATCCAAGGCAACGAAAAAAAATATGTTAAATAGGTCTCGATTACATAATATGTGATAATAAAATTATGTGATTTGTTGAATCTTTATTTATTTTTATTTTTTTCTTTTCTTTTCTTTTTGGATCAAAGTTAATCTCACAATTTTTCACTTTTTTTCTTTCTTATAATACAAGTTTTTATTTATATTTTTAAATTAAAACATTAATTACGACATATAAATATTTCTAAAACTAAAATAACTTATTAATTTTCATATTGTTATACTCATGATAATGAGTGAATATAAATAATTTCATGAATATAGAAATAAAATTTAAATATCTATTCAAATATTCCACTTTTATAATAGTTTTGAAATTTTAATAAATATTAATCAAATACATTTTATAATTAAAAAATTAAGATTAAAATTCTCATTTTTAAGTTATATAAAACTTATTCCTATAAATAAACTTTTAATTTATAAAAAAAAAAACACCTTAAAGTAGCTATGAAAAACTACTGTGAAATAAAATTGGATAACTTTTTTTACAAATATAATACATTATTTAAATAAAGAAAATAAAATTTAAAACTCATAAAAATATATATTTTTGTTACAAAGAAACATATTTAAAGTATCTTTTAATTATTAGTTAGTTTGATAGTGATTGACATTAGATTTGATAGAGAGAATCACTGTTCAATTTCTTACAATTGCGATTGAAAAAAAGTGAAAATTATTTCATATTAGAACTTACCTCCTAATTAGATTAAACTTATGAAAAAAATATCTTCCATAAAAAGTTAAATATACTTTTTGTTATTATAAAATATATATTTTTGTAGTTTCACATAAATTTTGTTAATGTTAATTGACAATTTATTTTTATAAAGATTAAACACATGAATTTTTGTCAAAAAGAAACACAAAGATTTAAAGCACTTATTTTTATATAAAATAGTGAACGAAAATAGATTAAATATATGTAGAAGTGATACGTAAAAAAATAAGAGTATAATTTTAAAAAACAACACTTATGTACTGATAATTTAAAATCATTTTATACATACATTCAATCAAATTATAATATATAAATATTTAAAATTATAATTTAGAAACAAATATATAACAATTAATCTCATAATTTTACCAAAATTGCAAATATATTTGATTCGTTAAATAAATTAAAATTTTAAAAGTTTAAAGAAGAAAAAGAAAAATGCTACCCTAACTTTTGGTATCGCTGTAGTTTATTTATTGGGAAATTATTATTTATTGCAGAGTGCAATGTAGCGGTGGAATAGGCAACGAGATTTGTCCCCACCAAGATATTTACGTTTCATTCATATATGTTGAGAAGCATCTATTGATGCCACCTTTTCATTCTCACCATTTTTATTACACTAATAAATAAATGTTACATTTGTATTAATTTTCAAATATGAAATCGAATAAAACTTTCAATAATATAAAAAAAGTTACAAATAAAAGAGGGTAATGATCTCTTTATGTAGAAAAATAAAAAGGAAATATCTCAAAAAATAATAACAAAATATCGAATTGTTTAAAAAAAATAATGGTGGTTAAAGTAAGTAAGGTTCAAGTAGTTATTCTAATCATAGGTGGAAAATATCTAATATAATCCTCACCATTTAATTGAGAGTATCCCTAACTACAAGTCTAATATTGTACTTTTCTATGTAGTCATTAACATGATATTTGACTTTATAAATTTATTTATTGTTGTCGATGAGAAATTTACCTTAAGGAAAATTAATTATAAGTAGTTAATTTGACTTAATTAACTACTAAGACAAAGACAGGATATCCAGAATATAAAGAATAAAGATTTAATATTTTTAATGCGGTAATTATATTGTATTTTTATCTTTTTCTCTCACTTTCAACTTTCTCTTTTATCTTATTTTTTTTTTATATTTTAATTTTTTTATAAAATTACAAAAGATATATTTAAAGATGTCATAGTCAAAGTTACTGAATCCGCTTTCAAATATAAAGGAGGTAAAATAAATATTTGATCAGATTTAATATAAATTATATATGAATAAAAATTAAAATTAAAGTTTGCGACTCTCTTACACTTATTTTTCTTTTTTGCAAATAAACTCTAAATGTAACATTCAATGTAAAGTATCACTTAAAAAATTACTAACTTGTCTATAATTCCTACTTGAATAAACTAAATATATGCATCTTATTCGATATCAAAAGCAGCTAATGATGAAAATATGTAAAGTATACATACTGATTTAGAGTTTATGGTTAGTTTTAATAAATAAAATAACATTTTCAAAAGACGAGTACGCAATCTATTTATTAGACTAACATCACACTACACACTAAAATGACTAAAATACTAAAATTTAAAGGTAATTTATCTTGAAAAGAGGGAGAAATGTAAAAACTTTGAGAATATATTGATGTTTTTTCTCTATAATTTGATTTCTATGATACAATTGTGTTAAGGAGAGTCCACGATTGATCTTAGGTATGGTATTGTTTTATTAAAAAAAAAAAAAATCCCCTCCATCATCACTTCTTAGGCATTTTAAATTAATATCGAATTGAATTTTAATGTTGTTTTGAACCGGTTAAAAGATCTAATTGATCAAGGTTTCAATCCAATTCAAATTCATTTTACTCGATTTAATATATAAAATTAGTCACTGCTAAGAGAATGTACAACCTCTAATCTCAAATTTATATATTCATTTTGAATTTTAGAAAAAAATTATACTTATAAAAGAATAACTAACTTAAAGATTAAAAACTCATATTGAAACTTGAGATAAAGTCGAAGGAAATATTTTGCCCTATTGTTTGATATCGAAGATCTATTTTCCTCTTTTTCTCGTGGACAAAACACATTTAAATTAGAAACCACTTTGTTAGTGATCACGATAAAAAAAAGAATTGCATAATTGAGTTTGTGATTTCATCTAATCAACCAACATGCATTTTTACTAAGCCTCTTCCTAAAGAAAATCAATTTTCAATTTTCAATTCTAAACCAATCATGCATCGATTTATTTATTTCATGTGTTTCTTATCCTTCAACTTTCTTTCCTTCTTCTCAGTATGAAATATGTGTTATTCTATATGTTTTTTACAAGCTTATCTATTTTTTCTCCGGTTTTTGGTTATGCCAAAAAGTGAGAAGTATAATCTCAAGAGAGTAGAGTATACTCACTACTAAAAAAATGACATTTGAGAAAATGTTTTACATCAGGTATCAAAATATATGATGTAAAAAATACCATTAAAAACATTTTACATCAGGTATTTATTTGCAATGATATAAATAATAAGAAAAAAATATTTTTCGCTATCTATTACATCGGGCAATGTCATCCACCGATGTAAAAGGTTTTCAGAAAAAAATACGGTGGCATTTTTGTAAATAAGAAACAAGGTGGCAGAATTGTAAATAAAAAACAAGCAAGATATTACATCGGGATAACTAAAAACCGATGTAAAAGGTTCACAGGC